TAATCCTCTACGTTATCCTTCCTCTACGTAATCCTCTACGTTATCCTCTACGTTCTCCTCCCTGAAGTAAGGGGGACCAAAACTGTTTGCAGTACTCCCGATGTGGTCCCACCGGTACCTCGCGCGGTTCCTGTGATGCGGTCGAGCGGGTTACGGTGTACGGGACAGATCGTGGTGGCTAAAACCGGGCAAGAGCGTGCAGTGCCTTTTATTCCGGTGATTCATATCCATCGGCGCATTGAAGTGCCTTTGGAGAGGCTAACAGAAAAAATCGCACCCGGCTCCCTGGGCCGCCAACCCTCGCCCGATGGTGGGTGGGTATCAATTTTATTGTCCCTGTGTCCTCGGGGAGGGGGTCCCTCGGCACCCCACTCCCTAATCAACCCCCTCTCCCCCTCCTCCGTCTATAGGGTGCCGTCCTCGAGCAGCTTTCCCAAACCCTGGCAGATCTTCTGCAGGTGGGCGTGGTAGGGGTCCTGGTCGCTGTAGAGCTTGACGAGGAGCTCGTCGTTGCCGAAGTGGTCGAAGACGTGTCGGATGCGACCGTGGGACTTGGGGGTGAGGTGGCCGTCGACCAGGCGCAGGAGAAGGTCGCGGCAGTCTCCCAGCAGCTGGGTCATCACCTGTGCCTCGAAGGTGAAGGCCACCTCGTGGAAGCTGATGGCGGTCATGGCTCCCTGGCGCAGCTTGCGGCGGAAGTCGTTGGCCAGGCCCAGCTCGTGGTCGCTGAACTGCTGGTGGCGGTACAGCACGGCGATCTTCACAGCCACCTTCACCAGGTCCTTTAGCACCTTCTGCGACTTGGCCCGGTTGCCGGTGAATTCCTTGGAGACGTGGTAGAGCTCGTCTAGGATCTCGGCGCTGGTGTCGTCGATCAGGAACTGCGCCAGCGACTTGTTGGCGATCCGGCTCAGGATCTTCTTCTGGGCTCTCATCGCCAGGTCCTTGGAACTGAAGGACTCCATTCCTGCTGAGGCGGGGGTAAGAGAGAGAGAGGGTGAGTAAAGATGGCCACCTCTTGGTTGCCAGGACCCGAAGGGCCCATCTCTACAGCTTTCCCTCAGGCGCCCTCTCTCACTCTCTCCAGACCCTCCCGGAGGGCGGGTTTGAGGACGGGACACCCTCGGGGTTGGGGGGGTAGATGGAATCCCGGAATTTCGGAGCGCCCCTCGGATTGGGAGAAGGGGTCCCGAAATCCAATGGCTGTCGACAGAGCTTCAAAGGTCCGCCTACCCCCTCCCCCACCCCACTTCGGGAATGTGTATCTGAGTGCTTCCCCGAACCCAGCTATGCGGGCGCCCTCAGGAAACGGACAAGCTGCGTTTCTCTAGCGCCTGCCTCCCCGAAACGTGCCCCTCCGCCCAGCTATGGGGTCGCTGCTCGACTGCAGGACGGCCGACAGATGCACAGCAAGCTCCCACTGGGTGAGGGTTCAGTTACCGGGTCGTCCCGGTTTATGTGCTGATGTAGGGTGAGGGGGTAAACGTTGGCCCCGCTGACCCTCCGACAGCGCCTGCTCCCTCGGCGCTGACGCTCCGACAGCGCGAGGCTCCCTCAGCGCTGACCCTCCGACAGTGCGGGGCTCCCTCAGCGCTGACCCTCCGACAGTGCCGGGCTCCCCCGGCACAGCCCCCTCACCGCGGCTGCTCCCCTGGGCCCGAACCTTTGACGGCGCCCGCTCCCTTGGTGCCGACCCTCCGACAATGCGGGGCTCCCTAAGTGCTGACCCTCCGACAACGCCCGCTCCCTCAGTGCCGACACCCTGACAGTGCCCGCTCCCTCAGCGCCGACACCCTGACAGTGCCCGCTCCCTCGGCGCCGACCCTCCGACAGGGTGTTGTTCCCTCAGCACTGACCCTCTGACAGCACACGCTCCCTCAGTATTAACCCTCTGAAAGTGGGTAGTATGATGTGGGACAGTGTAGAGGGAGCTTTATGTTGTATTTAACCACGCGCTCGGGGTTTACTCCCAAATTTAACCGTTATTGCTTGCCTCCCGGTTTTGAGCAGGACCAGGGGTTCGCCGTGTCAGTGAGGATTTGAAAGCCGCACGCCAACAGCTCCCTGGCAGAGACCAGGCCCAGGATGTGGTCGGAGGGATAATGAAAACCGCATTGATCTCACTGCCTCCCTGAAAGAGGGGGCCTGCTTCCACATTCTCAGAAAATAAGTAACGGTTTTCTGACACGGTAAACGGTCAGAAGCGGCAATCCGAGAGGAAGCGCCCTCGGTAATGCGTACACAGCCCTAGATTTAGGCCTGCTCGGCCTACGCAGGCCCGAGGGGAAACCGGGCCGTCCTGGGGTCGAATCTTTCGGGGAGCGGGCGGCCCGAGAGTTTATTTTCGCTGCGTCGCCAGATTCTAAACCGCGTTCCCGTCCGAGAAAGTTGAGAATCGCGGAAGGTCCAGGAGAGATCTGTGTGTGTGTGTGTGTTGGCGCGGTTGTTCAGGAAGTGGGCGGAAGACATGGCCGCCCTGTTTCGAGAGACGGGGAGCCCTCGGCATTTCTATCGCTCCGGGACCGCGCGGGGAGGGGGTTGGGGGGGAGGGGGGTTGCGTCCTTACCTCGGTTGTTGGTGGGGGTGGGGGTGGGGGGTCAGGGGCTTGTCCGGTGAGTCTGGTGCCTGTCTCGTTCCCGGGTTTGGGGCATTGGGTGGAGGGTGGTGGGGTAGTCGGCGGTGCCTCTCGGTAGCTCGGCCGCCTCCGTCGGCGTTGCTTTGGGGAGTGGCCCATCAGTGCCAGCCCTCGCCTCCATCCGGCTCCACCTCCCTATCGCTGACGCCCTCCCCGGCCCCACCCCGTCCTCCCTCCCTCCCTCCCCTTCCGAACCAAACCACTTGGCCAGTGTCCGCGGGATCGGACTGTGCGCCGCATAGGCTGCCACCCTGACACGCTTTGAAGGGTTCCCCCAAAACTCGCCCC